CGCTCGTCAGCTGTCTCGTCAGCTGCTTACTCAGCTTCCGAGAACTTGACCGTGTCTTACTTTCATTTTATTAATACTTTTTTATTCTTTCTTAATTACTTTTCCTTGGGATCTTTCCCTGATTCTAATGCTTTGCTTTAATCAGCTCTTTCTCAATCTTTTCTGTTTTACTTTATTTGTTTTATCTTTTAATATTAAGAAATCGGTCGGGTTACGACAGTATTATTAATGCTTGATAATCTGTCAATATTTTGTGTTCTCAGATATTTTTTTTAAATTATTTTATTTATTTTTTCAATTAAAAACAATTATATTTTACTTATATTAGCTTTGATGTTGTTCAAATTACCGCCATAATCAACGTTTCGTCTTTCTCGCATGGCATTGGTTGCATCCAGCAAAGAAAGCAGCTCAGTGATTATTGCTCCTAATTGGTACGTTCTCCTGGATCTACTAAAGCTCTACAAGAATACTCCAGTAATTATTGAGCGGTCACTGAATTTGAATTGCTTTCTCTGCTGAACGCGACCACGCTACCACGCGACACGCGACAATATCAGAGAAAGCTAATAATAAGTGCACGCTATACATATTACAAAGTGAGTGAAAAAGTTGAATGAGAAGAACATTGAAGCATATTCGCAGTATAATATTGTGATCTGCTCCATATTTTTCCAACTCATCATCAAAAACCCGGTAATATAAAAGCAATTTTTTATATAGGTTAAATTTAAGGTTATCGTTCTTTGTTTCGTCGTCTAATTTTGCCGTCGATAAAATTCTTGTTATGGATAGAATACATAAATATAAAATATATTCTAAAGGTCATCTCAGGCGTTTGGCCAGATTAGAGGCAGATGCATATTCTTTTGGTAGGTTATTACAGGCAAGACAAACCTTACCTTGCAATAATGCCAGTACAATGAACTCATTGAATATAAAATCTAATGAAGAAATTGCTGCAGAGATGAGAAATGATAATAACGTTGCTTTCGTATCACCAGATCAAAAGAATAGAAATGATGACGATGCATTCCCAAACAGCATATCTGTCAAAAAGATCTCTTTAAGATATCTTTTTAAAGATAACTTTTTGAATGATAAAGAAAGATATCTACCAGATAAATATATTAAAATGTCTATTATCAAGAGGTCTAAAAGACATCTTATTTGAGAAGTTTCTTACATAAGATATCTAAAAGATATCTTTTGTAGGAAGTTAATAAATTTTTTCAAATTAGTATCAAAATGTCATCTTGAAAATGATAGCGAACTTGTAATACAGATGCGCATGCGCACTGCAGTAATGTAACAAATAAAATATATATATCCAGTAGTAAAAGAGCGCTGCTTCTAACCTCAAAATTAAAGATAATATATACGAACAATGTGTGTAAGCATCTATTATTACAATTATTAATCAATTTTAAGGTCAGTTATTTACAAAAGTAAGTTGAATTGATACTTACCCAGTAAGCAATTTGATAACAAATTGTCGCCAAATTGGCATCAAATTCGGTCAATGTTCAGTTTTTGCTGACAATCTGATGTCAGTCATGTCAGCAAGCTTTGCTCGGTTTCTGCCGCCAATTTGTTGTCTAGTTATGTTAGCAAGCTTTGTTTGGTTTTTGCCGGCAATCTGCCAGCTTAATCGGTAATAACAACTCTTGTACCAAATTTGTAGCCTTTTTGCTGACAATAATTTGTAGCAAGCACTTGGCAATATCTGTTAGAACAGACGTGGCTGACTGGGTAAGTATCATTTCCTACGTAGCATGCATGTAAAAAAGACAAAGAAGATATCCCGAAGACATTTTTGGGCAATAGGATATCTTCGGGATATTCTCTGAACGTCTTTTGGATATGCATGCTGTGTGGGTTTTCACCTTTATTAATAGTCACTTATTTTATCTTATTAAAAAAAATATAATGAAATTATTAATTTTGCTTCAATATCTATCAACATTTCGTTTGTACTGTTTAAAAATATATTTTAATCCTTTTAGAACACATATATATATCAGTATAGTGAGAGCGCTGCTTCTAACCTCAAAATTAAAGCAATACGAACAACGTGTGTACGAGAAAGCATCAATTATTGCAATTATTAATCAATTTTAAGAGGTAAGTTATTTATAAGTGAGTTGAATTAAGTATCATTTTTCACTTAGTCACTTTTATATCTTATTTAAAAAAAAATAAATTATTAATTTTACTGCAATATCTATCAACATTTCATTTGTACTGTTTACAAATATTTTTATCCTTTGATTCTATGTGTTTGTACCTACAGGCACCCCTTCTAATTGAGATGGAGGTTTGAATATGGGCTCCAAATTTTTGTTCTTTTTTTTTTAATCAAACTAGGGGGTGGATCTATTAAAATTCGGACTTGACCATTTTAACGACCACACCCTAGTCTGTACCAATAATTTAATTATTTTTATTATTTTCTTATTTCAGAGATCATAATTAATTCTCGAACAGATTCTACGATTGATAAAATACAAGCCGTTATTAAATCATGGTTACAACATGCTGGCGATCGTCTTCCTAAAGAAGAAGGAACAAAAAAAAGAAATAACAACTTAAAATAATTTTTCATTAAATATTTTACTTATTCAAACATATTTTAGTAATGTGAAAACAAGAATATTTCTTTTTTTTTAATGATTATTAGTTTATATAAGATTATTTAGTTTATATATGTAATATATTGTTAATTAATATTTCAATATTGTTTTTTTATAAATATTATGTAAAAACAGCAAAATAGTCCAGGTGATGTTTCATTTCAAAATAACCATTGAAAAATGATACTGAAATTAGTTTAATATGTTTAATATGTATTTTAATTTAATATGTCTCTAATATATATATGGCAGCTTGTTTTAAATACTAATCTGTAAAAATCGATTAAATTTAATTTTAACGCATAAAATTATATTTAATGGCCATTAAACAAATTTCAGTGTCACTTTTAGAAAAGCATTTATTAATGATAATTTTATTTGAGGTGACATTAATTGGGAACACCAAGGAAACACGAAGCCTCTGGGAGATATTTAGCAAGCTCTCCAAAGAAATTTTTTGGCAATAAAGGACAGAAAATGACTGATTTTTTTCGTATTATCTCCATCCTTGTCAAAAACTTTCTTTGGAGAGCTTGCTAAATATCTCCACCAAAGGCTTTTTTAGTGTTTTAAATGTCTTAAAATAGATGTCTTATTGACATCATAAACATGAACTCTTAAAGATATCTAGTTTGAGATATCTTTTTGGTATCTATTACAAGATATCTCAAAAATATTATCTTGTTGATGACTATCGGAAGAAGTCTTTTTTCCCTCTAGATACGGCGCATAAGAGATCTTTCTGATCTCATTATGTTGTCTTTCTAAATTAATTTTTGGATGTCCAAATCTTGAATGAGAGAACATTAAGAGTTCTTTCTGTTATCATCTTGCTGTGTGGGTTGCAACTGAATTCTATTGAACGTGATGTATTATTGCCTGACTCTATAGAACCATCAATAAGTACAGATATTAGTGATATAGATGATAACTTTTCTGAAATGAACAATAAGTCTTTAAATGAACACGCAGATAAAAATTTTAACAAATTTGTAGCTGCATGGGCAATAAAATGTGGGGTAAATATAGCGAAAAGGGGACCCAGCCCTAATGACCTTGACCTTGATATATGTTGTCAAGGACATAATTCTGAGTAACTTTTTCTTCTAATTTAATTGTCGCTCGTTGCTTATTAAAAAGTTATTAACAAAAAAAGTTTGAAATATACCAAAGTACATGCATAGACAGGAAGCACGCGCGCGCACTCACACACACACACACACGGGGGTGCAAAAGGGGCCTTCGGCCCCCCTCCCGCACCCGCCCCGCTGGTAGGCAGGGTGGATCTTATTAACAAAAAAAGTTTGAAATATACCAAAGTACATGCATGGACATGAAGTACGCGCGCGCACACATACACACACACACGGAGGGAGGTACAAGTGGGGCCTTTGCCCCCCCCTCCCGCACCCACCCCGCCGGTAGGCAGGATCTCGCTTTACAATGTAGCATGTACTTTGTAAGTTGTAAAGCAAGGTCCACCCTGCCCACTGGCGGGGTGGGTGCGGGAGGGGGGCCGAAAGCCCCGCTTGCATCCCCCATGTGCGTGTATGTGTGTGTGTGTGCGCTTGGGTCCCCTTTTCGCTATATTTACCGATCCCAGAACTCTTTTACAAACTCCTAGAAATACTGATGTTATTAAAATGGGCTATGGTTAATATTGTCACTTTGAAAGTATTATAAAAAAATGATAACTGACATAAAAAAAGTGGTATGAATGTTGCCACATTAGATTTGTTAATAAATATTGATGGAATGTCTATATCTCGATCCTTGAAAGATTGTTTTTGGCCTATCCTTGTATCAGAAAATCTGTGTGCTAAAGCATATGTTGCAGGACTGTATTATGGGTATACGAAACCAAAAGATTCCAATGAGTTCTTAAAAAGATTTGTGTCTGATATAAAACCATTAGTAACAACAGGATTTATTGACAATGGGATAATAATAAAAATAAATTTAAGTGCATTGATTTGCGATGCACCAGCAAAATCATTTGTTCTTGGAGTAAAAAGCCATACAGGATTTTTTAGCTGTAGAAAATGTACCATAAGAGGTGAATGAGATGGACGTGTATGTTTTCCTGGAGTAAACGAAAACATCTCTTTACGAACTGATTTAGAACTGGCAGATAATAAATATATGGGAGAATATTAACAAGAGGAATGTATATTAAAAGAAATTGACAATTCTGGATTAGTTTCTTGTGTGCCACTTGATTACATGCATTTAGTGTGTTTAGGAGTGATGCGAAAATTAATAAGTTTATGGTTAAAACATATATATTCAAAAAGAATAGCCAAAATCTTTTGCAAACGAGTTTCTCAACTGCTCAAAAATATAAGATCGACAGTTCCATCAGAATTTAATAGAAGGCCTAGATCTCTGAAAGATTACAAACAATGAAAAGTGTTCGAAACCGAACTATAGAAATTTTTATCCGCTAATGCGCGCTATTACAAAGCGCGCTCGAAAATTGGCGCGTTAGCGCCCATCTCGCGCGGAGCACGGCGCGCGACAAATCAGAGCGCGAGTAGACAGCGGCGCTACACGAATCGCGCCAGGCCCGCGGCATCGCTCGTGCCTATCGATATGGACCACGCAGCGGTCACCCGAGAGAGCCCGAAACGACAAACAAATTGTAATAACAACATTCAAAATTTAACTAATCATCGAAAATAACAACCGACGCGAATTTTGAGACAAACACGTAGAAAATTCTAGAACACAAAAAGAACGGTTGTATAAAAGCTCTCTCGGGGAACCGCCGGGCGCACTCGATCGAGATTCATCCGTGACAGTGTGTGCTTATATCGTTTAAACGCTCGCTATAGAAAAGTCGCTCGCTTTTCTAATTCGTACGCTCGATTACGAAACGCGAAGTTCACGATTATCATAAAAGAGATTTCTCGTCGCTCGCGATTAATCTCTCGTTGTTAAAACGCGCCGTTTATTCAGTCGCTCGCGGAATCGCGCCGTTTACACCGTCGCTTGCGGTATTCGCGATATATCCGTCGCTCGCGGAGATTATCGTAACGCTCCCGGTCGCTCGCCGGAGCAATCACTCGGTTAAGATTAGCATAAATCTGATCGACAAAGAACTTGTTAACTATTTATTGTTCTTAATAAATTGACTGCCTTTTTTACAAAACACTATCGTGTCCATTTCACGCGATCCTAGCGCTTCCGCGTTCACTCGCGCACAAAAAGCTACAGAATTTAGAACTTTTCTTTTATATTTAGGGCTTGTTGTTTTAAGAGATATATTAGATAATGACATGTATAAAAAATTTTTAACGCTTCATGTTGCTATTTCAATATTATCGAATCAAGCTTCTTGTAAGGAAGATTATTATTTAGATTACGCTGAAAATCTATTGAAATATTTTGTTCATTCTTTAGCAAAAATATATGGTAAAGCACATGCATCTCACAATATACACAATTTATTACCACTTGTCGCAGACATAAGAAAATTTGGAATATTAGACAACTTTAGTTGCTTCAGGTTTGAAAATTATATGTTAACAATTAAAAAATTATTGAGGAAAGGAGACAAACCATTGCAACAACTTTCAAGAAGATATGGCGAAATTGGAAGTGTAAATAAATATGAAAAAATAAGAAGCTCTACATTATATTTAGAAAATAAACATTTTGATGGTCCTCTACACCAAAACAGTAATATTAAAGGTCAATACAAAACGTTGCGCAATTCATTATATATGATCTGCTATAACGATAAAAAAAATAATTGCTGCATATTAAAAAATGGAGATTATATAGAAGTGGAAAACATTATTCAATGTGCAGATGAAATAATATATATAATCGGGAAAAAATTATTGAAAGTACAAGATTTATATGACGTGCCTATGAAGTCTTCACTTTTACAAATAAATATTGTGAATAAAAATAATGAAAATCAAAATTTAAATACATGAACCATTGATAATGTGGCAGCAAAAGCTTGGAAAATTCCATATGGTGAACAGTTTGTCATATGCCCCTTAATACATACTTACAAAAACTGATATATGTAATATATAATACAGGGTAAGTTTTTTAACTTGAAACTGCAAAATATCTCGGAAAGTAAACTTTATCGAAAAAAATGTTTCAAACAAAAGTTATAGGATTAGGAGGGGGCCACATGATAAAAATATGGATTTGACTTTGAGTGACCTTTTCAAGGTGAGGTCAGAGTTCCATTTAAGAAAACGTCGATCACATTGACCTCACCTTGAAAAGGTCACTCAAAGTCAAATCCATATTTTTATTATGTGGCCCCCTCCGAGCCCTACAACTTTTGTTTGAAACATTTTTTTCGATAAAGCTTACTTTCCGAGATATTTTGCAGTTTCAAGTTAAAAAACTCACCCTGTATGTAATACTTACAACATGAATAAGAATACGATTCAAAGAATAAGTATAATTATATTATTTACAGGTTCTGTTTATGTTCCTATAAAATGAAATTATTTTTTTTTTGTTCATTCTATATTTATATTATGACTATATTATGACTATCTATACCACGGATGCCTAACTAGTTTTTCCGAGAGGCCAGATTTCAAATTTTAACCACTGCCTGCGGGCCAGATTAATTGCCAAACAACTTTCAAGTTATTGTCCTCTTTGCGTTACCCAGGGACTACCACGTGGAGGTGAGGCAATGACAATCTCCATTTTTGGGTTTTTTTTTGTTTTGTATTTTTTGTTTTTAATTTTTTCTATTTTGTTTTGTTTTTTTTGTTTTTTTCTTTTTGCTTTTTTAATATTAACTGTCTTTTACTGTCTTTCTACGTTATTTTTCATCTTTGAAAACTTTTGATATATATTTTTCCAAATAAAAACTAATGTGAGAATTGCGATTTGCTGTCTTTGACCAACTTGGTAAACTCAGGGTTGTAACTAGTAGTAGCAGCAACCAAACAATCCTCAAGATGACGGTCAGTTAAACGGTTTCGAAACTTGCTTTTCACATAATTCATTTTTGAGAATGCAGCTTCGCAAACATAAGCTGATCCAAACATTGTCAATACAAAAGAACCTATCTTTCGTAAATTAGGATAAGTTTCATCAGGCAAAATATCAGTCCAAAACTTGGTTATCTGTGCTGCTTGATAGCTTTCTTTCAATACACTGTTTTTCTGCAATTCGATAGTTTCCAGCTGAAGCCTGGCTTTATCAACGTAATCACTGAAAAGATGCATAGCTTGTGTAACCCAGTTACCGTTCCAGTTACCGGGTTCCATAGAAAATGGATTCTTTAAGGCAGTGAGTAAATCAGAGATTTGGCTAAATTCTGAAAACCGCGAAGAAAATTCGATCTGCACTTCATGTAAAAACTTGACAAAAGTGTTCATGTCAATGTCTTCATCAGGATTTCCTTCAATATGAGCTTTCAATGAAGGAAAGTGAAGTAATTCCTTTGAATTTAGATCGTTTTCGAACAACTGCAATTTCCGCTGGAATGCTTTTATTATTTCCCACATATCGCAGAGAACCTTGTTCTTATCTTGCAAATCTTTGTTCAGTTCATTAAAATGGGAGAACACGTCGCCCAAAAAACAAATTTTGCCAACGTTCTCTATGTTACCCAAAAATTGGAAGTACTCATTAGCAGTCTTAGTATTTCTAGAGTCAAGAAAACTATGAATTTCTGGTAGTAAGCATATCAATCTGTTCAATACATTGCCTTTACTTAGCCAGTGAACATCATTGTGAACAAGCAAATCTATGTACTCGCTTTCACATTCTTGCAAAAATGCTCTTAGTAAACGATGTTGTAGAGCCGAATGCGAGCGCAGAAAATAAACTATTTTCATAACTGCTGTCATGACATTCTTAAGATCGCCAGAAAGCTTTGCGCAAAGAACAGCTTGATGAATTATGCAGTGCAAAGCAATAATCTTGGAATTTAGATTTTTCATGAATGCAATGAAACCATTGACTTTACCAGTCATAGCCGGTGCACCATCAGTTGCTATCGAAAAAATATTGTCAAACAAAAGATTGTCAGATTCCATGAACTTTTGAAAATTTTTGAATAGTATTTCACCGGTTGTGCGATCGTGAAGTGGCAATAATGTTAAAAGTTCTTCTTTGAATTCACTGTTCCAAAGATACCGAACATAAACTGCCATTTGCGAAATATCAGAAATATCAGTTGACTCATCAATTGCAAGTGAAAAAATTTTGCTTTTTGCAGATTACGCAAAATGTTTTCTTGGACTGATCTTGAGCAAGATTCAATTTTTTTAGTTGCCGTGTTGCGCGACAAAGGAATTTTCTTCAATGTTTCGGACACTTCTTTTTTATTTTCGAAAAGTATATTCGCGGCTTCAAGTAAGCATAACTTAATTACTTTAGAGTGAGAATAGGGAATCATATTTTTCGCCATAATCCAAGAGATTCGTAAAGAAGTTTCGGTGCACTTTTCCTGCTCAGTCAGAGCGTGTTTCATTATTAAGTTTGATTGTTCATATGAGTTTTGGAGCGATGCTATTTTTCATTACGTAGAGATCCTTTTGGGTATTCTCTGTCATATTTAGCGGCATGTTTTGAATTATAATGTTGCTTCAAGTTAGCGGCCTTGTTAACCGCCACGGTTTCATTGCAAATTAAGCATATTGGTTTGGCATATTTCTCAATGAAGATGAAGAAATACTCTTCAGTCCATTGCAATTGAAAAGCTCGATTCTCCGAATCAACTTTTCGATGTTTTGGTCCGGACATTTCGATTGTCAGAGAAGCGAGAAACGCAGTACGAAGCTAGCTTTAAGCGAAACTAAATTGAAAATGAGCGGTAAGCGACTGGTTTGCAAGTTCATACGAGCAATCAGAGAAATGTGCGTAGAGAGCGCAGGAGAGAAGTGCAAAAAGATAAATAAATCTATGAGCACGGGTCTGTTTCATTGAAACATTCGGAATTTTACACTCACAGTCATCTCCTGTCAGCAGTAATTGAAATCTGGGAATTGCAAATCAATTCCACGAAAATCGTATTCTTAATACACTGGAATCTCGCGCGCAGTTCGGGGCTCTGAATATAACGATATTGCTCCTACTTTACTCCCGAATCATGAAATTCGAAATCGTCGCGTGAGACTTGCACGAACACGTCCTTACCAAACAAGTCGCTAGGACTTAACAAAAGATACACGCTAAAAATATGCGCTACTACGCGGTTGAGACATCCCCACTCACGCTACTTACGTGCGTCTAGTCGCGAGCTAAAGCGCTTCCGTCGTCTCGATAACCTCGATAGAGCGAGACAAAGAGTAAATAAAAAAGAATACTAGCGTCTATCCTTTTTTGTTTACTCTCTGTCTCACTCTATCGAGACTATCGAGGCGACGGAGAAATGGGAGCGCTTTAGCTCGCGAGCCGGGTTTTGAACAGGCTTGATCTAGAAGTATGGAAAGGATTTTGTGCACTATTACAAGATTCTACTGTAGTCTAAATTTCATATTTTCGAATATGGTCGCGGGCCGGACTGACAGGCTGCACGGGCCGGATCCGGCCCGCGGTCGGACGTTGGGCATCCGTGATTTATACTTTCAGCAAAAATATGACTACATTGAAAGCTTATACAATAATAGAATTTGAGGATGGCCTGGCAATAGTGCCTTCACATTGGTTAAGCGATGATGAAACTAAATGCGCTTATCCCACTTTTCGGGATCCAGCAAAAATAAAAAAAGCTGTCGCGTCACAATTCTTCCCCGAAGAAAACAATCCGAACTGGAAAATATATGATGTCTTACGGATTTTTTATAGAACAAGTTCGATCCAATTTTCAAAAATTTGATTATTATATTCATTATTTGTAAATATACTGATTTGTCTTTTTTATGATGTTTGTTTGTATTTTCAGATTCATACGAAGGAGTAAAAGAAAAACTACTCATTGCTGAAAATGTATCAGATTTAACGGCTGATGAAAATACAGAAGATGAGATCAAAAGATGCGACAAAGACAAAAAATCGAGACATGTGCGAGCTAAGAAAAATTATTCTTCGTCGGAGGAGTGTGAATCCAATTCTGGCAGAAATAAAAAAGGAACAAAATTACTACCTTTTCCGAAAATTCCAGAGAAATCATATATTACGAACAATAAGATTTCTGCAAGTCAGAAGTTTCCCAGGTAGCACACACGGTCTTATTGACGTCAATTTTAGGTCATATTTCGTCCAAGACGTCATATGTCTTCTATATGACGTGTATTTGATCCTATTGTGGACGAAATTATGACATTATGAAAAGGACATGAATTAGACGTCTTTTTAAGACCAAATTTTGTATTAACAATTTTATTTTTTAAGTTTTTCTTAATTAAAACAGACTTTGTTCGTTCCACTTTTAAACTTTTTACTTATGGTAACTATATCGATATGTGATAATGCGGTAATTATACCATAAGTAAAGGGATCAATATATGTAAAGATATTTAAACACAAATAGAATGGAAAATAAAAAGTAGGCAATGAAAAATATAGTTAATATTGCTTCATTATTAATTGCTGCGTTTGCGATTTCATCGTAGAGCATGGAAATTTCATATCTATATGTATAATGGCATCGATAGAATCCTACCCTATCACGCGCCTGTCGTAACAAACGATCGCCTGGGCGTATGATAAGGAGAACCTCATTAATGCCGTTCAGAATACATTTGAACCGAGCGCGAACGTGAAGCGCATGTGCGCTTCTGGGTTCTTGATTGGACAAGACTACGACATGAGTTGCGTAACAGTGCAATAGCACAGTATACACTGTGGCAATAGCGAGAAAACGAGAAATGTAACACGTGCCCAATAAGTGATTCTGAAGCCGGTCGAAGTTTTGTGTATCTATGTGTATCTGGCGTGTCTCTTATAAAATAAAGAGAAAATAATATATTAGCAAAAGGGTAAATATTGTACACACTCCTTTTCCAAACTTATTTCTTTTTCTTACATGTGCAATATATGATTATTAATAGGATCAAGTTCTTCATCAATTGTTATTAAGGATTTGCTTTTTGAGATCATAACCGGCGATTTGCTTTCACATTGTGCCTTTACATATAAAACTGATATAAATTTGTTTCTATATAAAAAAAGTTAGATACATATATTAATGCACAAATTGTGATATTGAAGCCTAACCTACAATACTATATAAATTACTATGTGTATTTATGTCAATAAGGAACACAACCCACACGGAACATGACATCCATTGGACGTCCATATAACCTCCATAACTCCATGCGACATCTATCTCTACAGTGGATATTGTATAGATTTCTAATAGAAATCCATATTATCTCCATGGTAGATGTCGTATATAAATCCATCATGGATGTCCATGAGACATCTGTTATGGATGTATGATAGATTTATACAAGTATGTTTCTAATAAAACAAAATTTAATTTTTAGGTAAATGCTCAGATTAACTTACACCTCACGGATCGTTTTCATTTTCACATATATTGGAGAGGGCATATTCCTAAGTAATACGCACTTCGAATTTTGTGGCGCTCTTTTCTGGTTCCAGAAATATGCAATTTTAAAGTTTCACAGTTTTAATGCTTTTTCTGTTATAAAATAAGAAAAAATAAAGTTTGTTTACGTTGTATTTGTGTAAAACAGACGTGGATAAAGTGTTTATTTACATTTCTGGAAACGAAGCTCCTTGAATTTTTCCATTTTCCACGTGAAGCGAAGTTCAACGCGAACCTATGTGTCTAGTTTTTTAATAGTGGGCCCCCCCGCAGGGGAGGCGGAACATACTGTCTCCACGCATATACTTTTTAATGTGTAAATATAAAGTGGAAAGTTGTAAACCCCTGTGAAACCTTACTTCGCATTAAAAAGTATATGCGTGGAGACAGTATGTTCCGCTCCTTGCGGGGGGGGGCTCCACTATCAAAAAACTAGACACATAGGTTTGCATTGAACCTCCCTTTACATGGAAAAGCAATATTTTTTTCTGTAGTAATGGATAGAAATTCGTAAAGCTTCATTGCTCTACTTCTTTTGAAATTTCTAGCAGAACTGAACAAGTGTACGATTCTGAAGCGTACTAGCAGTAACATAAAAACAACTCTAAATGTAAACAAAAGAAATTCTTAGCAAAAATATACTGATTGTGACGCAAATGTAAACAAAAAAACATAAACACGCAAGTAAGATATAGTGAAAAGATCATAGAAATAAATGCGAAAATTATGATACTTCAAAATCGCATATCTCTGAAACCAGAAGAGAGCGCCACAAAATTCAAAGTGCGTGTTACTTAGGAATGTGCCCTCTATAATATATGCAAAAATGAAAATGATCCATGAGGTGTAAGTTAATCTGAACATTTACCCACGCGTAAACACGATCACGGTCACCGAATCTCAAAACAGGCTAAATCCACGAAATCTTCCGTTTCGATAATAATCGAATTCAAAAATACAATAAAATGCAAAATATAACACGCGAAATTCTACAGATCCTCCTCGCAAACTTAAATTTTTCGAAAATCTCAGGCAAAAGATCGGCGAAATACAAGAAATACAGTATTAAACAATATCCTGTAAGAAAGCGATTAGTACACACAGTACATATGAAAATTCAATAAGCGGCACTCAATATATATATATAAATACATCCTTTAATACTCTCAATATAAATTCAGAAGAAATACGAAAAGAGGTAGCAAGAATTAATTCCAAATAAGTGAGATAAAAAATTACCTCTTAAAGTTTTCAATAATCCAGGCAGCAGTTAAATAAATTATCTGATTGATAAAATTTTAATTATCATTAAGTTAAATCAGCGGGATTCTAATAATTTTAGCAAAAGTTCAATATTTTCGAAAATTGATCAAAGAAACGTGATAATAATAATACAGAGAATCAGATAAGCGGAAGAAGTTCAAATAAGCGTTAATAACAAAAACCAGAATATCATTAATCCATAATAATCTCAGGAATAACATCAATAAAACAATCAAACAATCGATAATCTCAATAACAAGCAGACATAAGAAATAACATATTCAGTATAAAGCCAAAAGTTTCAATGTCATATATAATCACAAATCAAATCATTAAATTCATCTCAGTAACTTGTCAATCTCAATCTCTGCATCCCGTTTATCGTGGGCCCACATTGGGCGCCAATTTGTGTATATATTTTAAGTAATTATATTGTCTTTTTCCGGCAGGTCGTTGGTAATGACCCACGGCATACCATCGGCCTTCGGCGCGATATACGATAGCTCGATCTCATACAAGAGCAAATTCTGGTAACGATAGGTTGGGCGCCAGACGCGAGATTCGCGCCATACAAAACTCACAAAAAACCAATAAAGCAAGATCGAGGAATAATCGCGACGGCAGAATCCGCGACCGCTCCTCAGTTAACAAGATTAATAGAGGGAGTGATCCGTACAAACGGGACGGGAGAGAACCGAAATAAGTAAGCAGAGATTCATAAGACACAAAGATTTAACAAAATAATAATATATTAACAAGTGTAAATAGTTGAAAAGAAAATAGAATATAATTTCGGAGATATCAGCCTGTTCGTCGGCCTTAACATGTTAACGTGGCCGAGCAAGAGTATCGTGTTTCACGGCACGCGCGAATAAAGATTGATTATATGGTGGCCGCGAATTTCCAGATGCGCGGAGCGCGTTCGGGCCTTATTAGCGACGGAAAATCCTTTGGATTTTCATATATATAACTGCGCTCGCCCATGTAAAATTATAAAGATGTTGTTCAAGAAGGAATACAAAAGCGCTTGTATAGCAGCCGTTCAACTCGCGACAGTAGTTCGTAGTTGCGGGATATGACATCAATATAGTTGTTCAGATCTGACTCTTTTCTAACCTCCGATTTTACGATTATTATGGCGACGCTGCGCAAAAGGGAGAGAATCGTAATTACGCGACTAACGTGACGCATTTATCTGAGGATACTACAATTCCACATTCCACGCAATATAATAACTGTACAACATCGATAAATTTTCCAAATAATCTGCAAAATACCGATTACATAAAATATACCGAAAATATGACATACGCAGCACGCGAGATTTTCACAACGCACGATATATATTCGAGACGCGGTATATGAGCTCGCCGCAAAATAATAACGATGTACAAAACGGTAGTGATACAAAACAAAATACGAAACAATACTCGAAAAATACAATTATGACTGTCGGCGGCATTCCCGGAAGATAAAGTAATTGCACGATAAAGAGGATCGGATGAATCGTCTCGCCATCGGCCGTTTATTCTTAGGAAACGTGATAGCGATAAACGAATTCGTAAAGGAAGCGTTAACTTACGGCAGCGATTATTACGTGGCGCGACTCATCCAAACCGTATCCGAAATTGGTGGTTTAACAAAGGGACGACATCTCACCGGTCTTCAGCTATCGTTCCGCTCTTACGATGGATCTCGGCGATAGGCTTCTATCTCTCGCGCTGGTCCGCCGAACAATAACGAGCGGAAGAGCCGCAAGAGACACGCCGGCACAGTAATGTACAATTAGGCCACCTGTGGCGCTTCCGGGTCTTGTTGGTCCTTGCGGCCCTCACTATTGATCTTTTAGTTTTCGATCTCTTTACTTCCCGTTGTTTTCCTTTCGGACGTGAAGGAGATATCTTCAGCAGTGTACAAACTGGCCTGGCCCTTTTACATCCCTCCATGACTCCGGATGTTCCCCTTTCTCGATTTTCCCATCAATCTTAGATCGTATCCGGGTTCGAGTGTCGGACTCATATGTCGGGCGCAATCCCGTATCTCCGCGGCGAGGCTCCCATACTAGTGGTATGTGGAGTGGCCTTCCCCAGTTGTCTCCTCGTTGATCCTGTGGGCAGCGATTTTCTCAGAAAGCGACAGCAAACATTTTTTATCATAATTATTTATGTTATTATCAAAAAGAAGTATGCCAGTATCTGGCGTGCTCCGTACATGCTGAATCGGGCCTCCATTCATCCCTAACAAACACTTTTTCCACATCTGATTTACACAAATACAACAAAAACAAACTTTATTTTTTCTTATTTTATAACAGAAAAAGCATTAAAACTGTGAAACTTTAAAATTGCATATCTCTGGAACCAGAAGAGAGCGCCACAAAATTCAAAGTGCTTATTACTTAGGAATGTGCCCTCTATAATATATGTGAAAATGAAAACGATTCGTGAGGTGTAAATTAATCTGAACATTTACCATTTAAAAAGTTGTTGAGTTACTACGGTTGTTTCTTCTTGAGAGCCCACACGGAACATGACATCCATATAAATGGACGTCCATATAACCTCCATAACTCCATGCGACATCTATCTCCACAGTGGATATTGTATAGATTTCTAATAGAAATCCATATTATCTCCATGGTAGATGTCGTATATAAATCCATCATGGATGTCCATTAGACATCTGTTATGGATGTATGATAGATTTATACAAGTATGTTTCTAATAAAACAAAATTTAATTTTTATTTAAGTATTATTTAAAATTCTCAGCTAATGTTTTGAGAGTATACTTAAAAATGTGTAATATTATATATTCTATTTTTAATTTATATACAATTTAAATTTTTATTAAAATTTTTTACTAAACTCTAAAATATAATTAACAAAATTTTAATGCAAAATAAAGAATTTTTTTTCATACCAAATTTTTTAAACAGTCCATAATATATAATGTCATCAATTTATTATTAAACAAAGAAAATTCTTAATTTATAGATTAAAATTAGAGATAACTGTAATTATTCATATTATATTCCTCACAGCACATCAACATCCCAATGAAATTACACCTTAAATTGTAAGATGGTAACATTCTACGGAAATTAATAAACCTGCCATTAACTTTTAGTAACTTGAAAATTCGTCTAAATTTATTCCATTAGCGGCTCAGAGACCTTGCGCGTAACGTTTTATTAATATCCATACAACCCGCTTTCGTCAATACAATTAACTACCTAAAACGCTACTATATTTACGTAAATGATTTGGAATGTTCTTTTTCTGTGCACGCGTGAATCACCGTTTATTCGGAGTTCGTAACTGCTCTCCGGCTCTTTCCTAACGCCCCGACGTGTCGGCACAATTGCCGTCGTGTCTCGTGGATTACGATACGGGAATCTCACCGCGAATTCTCTAAATCGAGTTTTATTGTTGAGCAATACTTATCTGAGGTGGTGCCACGTATTCAATATCGCTTCGATTGTTCTCTCGTTGACTCTTTCTCCTGTTCCGGGGATTTTCTGCTTCTCTTCCTCCTCACGCCCGAGAGTTCCGCCGGCCCAAGGAGTATCCAAGCTTCCGTTAAGATATGGCGGTGTCTGTCTCCTTACAATTAGTGGTGACGTGGCCAAGATAACCGCAATGAAGTCGGAGTACTTCTTTATTCGATGTCGCCTGCGTGCGTCCCCGGAACGAAAGAGGACGAGACATCCCGAAGCTCTATTATATCGATCTACCGCGATCGATCGACATGCGCACTATTCGCTACTATTTCGGCAGAAGTGGGAGTAGGCACGAGGCGCCGAAAACGGTCGATTAATTATTCGATATCGCCTCTTACATCTCCTAATATTATTTTTAATAAGGAACCCTTGCAAAAAAATATTATATTGCCAAAAATCGATTAAACACTATCGGTTTTCAACAGCTTTCAATCGTTTTTTCACCAATCATTGAATAGTTCAAACTCTATTTTTTTCTTTAATGTTGAATTCCGCAAAAAATCCATAAAATTAAAACAAAAAAACGAGCTCCTTACTATTATTTTTGAAAATATAAGATATGTATATATATATATATATATATATATATATATATATACATATCTTATATTTTCAGAAATAATAGTAAGGAGCTCGTTTTGTTTTAATTTTATGGATTTTTTGCGGAATTCAACATTAAAGAAAAAAATAGAGTTTGAACTATTCAATGATTGGTGAAAAAACGATTGAAAGCTGTTGAAAACCGATAGTGTTTAATCGATTTTTGGCAATATAATATTTTTTTGCAAGGGTTCCTTATTAAAAATAATATTAGGAGATTATGTATGAAGATTAATGGAATCTTATTTCAATATTTCAACAACCTTACGCGCAATTATTTCACTTTTCGCGTATGCTGAAAATATTACAAAATTATGAGATATCGTTTAACATTAATAATTGAATTTTATGTGCATGTTTATCTATATCCAAAATTATTATTTATTTAATATTTAATGAAGTACAATCCCAACAATTCAGATATTGGATTGATTTTTTTCTTAAAAATCGGGCGGATAAATGTCCGAAGAAGTTAAAATTATCCATTTACTGTCTATTTAAGATGTAAAATAATATATATATGTATACATATCTTATATTTTCAGAAACACACTAATAAAAAGCTCCTTTTATTTAATTTTTCGGATTTTCTGCGGGATTCTGTATAAAAAGAAAAAAGTTTGAACTATTCAATTATTAGTGAAAAATGATTGAAAGCTATTGAAAAAATAAGTGTTTAATCAATTTTTGGCAACATAATATTTTTTTTGCAAAAGTTCCTTATGAAAAATAATATTAGGAGTTTTGTGGCATGTTGTATGAATATTAATACAACGTTACGCGCAAAGTCTCTGGGATGTTAATGGAATGAGTTTGGAGTGTTTGGACGAACATATTTTCATGTTGCTGGGAAGTTGATGGCAGGTTTATTAATCTCCGTGGAATGTTACCGTCTTACAATTTAAGATGTGACTTTATTGGGATATTGGTGTGCCTTGAAGGCTATTATTCATCCATCAAAGCTCCATGAAATATCCATGATTATACCATATGACGTCCATGTGACATCTATGAATACGTCTAATGGATGTCGAATGAAAGTAAGAAATGCGGAATTGTGGATGTCTAGTAGATGTCTATAGGAGATTACATGGACATCTTATAGAGGTTTCGAATCTCCATGATGGATGTCTACTGGACATCCATTAGAGGTTTTTGTTCCGTGTGGGAAATGTAAATATTTGTTATATTAACATTTTAATAAATTTGATAGAAGATTTAAAGCGTACAGGTGAGTTTATTAAAATACCTCTCTAATCTTGTAATACATAAATATATACATATATATTATACTATGCTTTGTCTTTGCAGGCGAAATAATCCAAAAATAAGTATGGTTTATGTTGTTGTAGAATTTCATGAGAAACACAGCGGTGGTGTAGCTGCTGTTAACAGTGCGTGGCTTCCCTTTTTTAAAAAGGAAGTTTTTTGGCCTCCGTATAAAGATCAAAATAAATTTGACAAAGCTTTGAGAACAGGGGAAACAGTTGATACTGAAAAATGGACACTGCACAGTATTTCGCGTATTTTTTACAGTAGTGGTAAGTTAGTTTTCCATATTTATTTATTTGTTTATTCTACATATATATACATATATTTATTTATTTTACATATATATTTATTTATTTATTCTACATTTTTTCTAAATTGCAGATGATCTTGTAAAGACAAGAGAGAAACTAAAACGGTCAGAAATTATATCAAATTTGGAGAGTGAAGAAGAAAACGAAGATATACGTAAGAAACGGAAAAGAATGTCTAGAAGAATATATAATTCATCGTCAGATGATGAACAAGAGGAAGAACGAGGAAAACAACGAGGTTTGTAAAAGACTGATTTGTCAAAGTAGATATAACGTCAACAGTTTTTATAATGAAATATTTTTCAGAAAAACTTGTTTCCCTGATAGCTACTGTCAAGGAACAGAATGATGAAATATTTGTCACGTCCCGCGACCATTTTTCCGATTTTCTTTCCTCTGTTATATTTTCGAAATTGATTAAAAGAACTCTAAGTCCCTTTTACGCGATTCAAAAAGCTCGCCTTTGGCGGCCATGACACCTTGCTTCTACTAGTACCTAAGCGTGGCGCTACCATAATAGCGCGTCATCTCACTACCTCGCCATCCCACTACCACGTATCCCCACTTGCGGACGACAGCAGCGGCCGAGCCGCCGAAACGAAGGACCTCAGTGCAGGCCCCGACTTCGTCAGTCTCATCCTGGAAAGACTTTGGAGCTAAATTTTTATGTTATGTTATGTCGTTATAATAAAAATAATAATGAGCTTTATAACTTTCTTATAGTGCAATCTTTTTCTAGAATGACACCTGGAGAATCAAGATTGCGAGTTCGTAGTGCACGTACCCGAGGTAATCATTGGTATGTAATTATAACTTACAGTTAGTGAAAAATTATTGTCTGGTGCAATAATGTGTTAATAAAGTGACAAGTGTACACACAATTACAGTATAAGATTAAAAATGCTTGTGTGCCATTTATCTAAGAAAAATTTCTTTTATTAGATTTATATCTGCTACGGACCTATTAACGATTCTATAACGGTTACCAACAAAAAACCGCGGACTCATTTCTTTTTCTCAAACGTAACGATTTAGAATGTTCTAGAAAGTTCCGTTAAATCTTATGGGATATTCAGTGATTCTTTTTCCCCCTCTCTAAACTCGCTCGACACCTCACAGATTTACTATATGTATATTTGAGAGTATAGGAATAGGTATTTGGACAATCAAACGCTTCCAAGTTTAATTGATTCACATACCAAGTATCGTGACAAGTCCGTACGAGATGCAAGGTAGGGTATATGAAAGGTAGGGTGTCCGCGAACACCTTGATAATGTTCTAGTCTAGCGATAGCGAGCAAATGAGCAAGTTATTGAAGATTGACGACTGTGAGTGAACAATAATTATCAAAATCTTCCTAAATTGATTAAGTAGTTACGCGTTTGTTTGTTACCCAGCATAGCTGTCAAAACAATATCGCAAGTGTAAAATACTAAAGTGCAATCGCATCTCAATTGTTTAGTGAACGGGACTACGGCTCAGACTCTGTGTAATTAAACAATGCTCTTTAATGTTAAATAAAAGTGTTCGCCTGGATTGATCTGTTCCTTATTGTTCGTATGTCATTCCGCCGACTGTTTCCAGTCGAACTGGCAACTCTAAAGTTTTGCAATTTTACATAAATATATACATATAAACAATATCTTTGTTATATATTTCGACAAAGATAAAATATCAACGTAACTAAATTTTTTGCTGAGCCTAAAAATATAAGAGTTCCTATCCTCTTCTAGAAATCATTTGATATTCGTAGGCATTTTCCCATATAATTTTATATAATGGCCTTTAGAATTATTCTGTTTTTTTGTTTTTTTTTTTAAGATGTAAAAGGAATATTTTTACAGAGATACAAGCTGCGTAAAATGGCATTTATAATGTCTTATCTCTGGAATCTGGATGGCATGATAGTTCTAACAGCTATCATCATACTCGCCTACTTTTACATGACGCGCAAGTTTAAATATTGGAAAAAGCGCGGCGTTTCGGAAATATCACCAATACCTTTCTTGGGCAATTTTACGAGATGTATATTTATGAAAAAATCAGCGGGATGTCTACTAAAGGAGTTCTATGATCAAGCGAAGGAGCAACCTTACGTAGGATTTTTTATTTTTGACAAGCCCTTCTTATTGATTCGCGATCAGGAACTCATCAAGAATATCTTCATGAAGGACTTTAAATACTTCTCTAATCGATATGTCACGGTGAATAAGGAAGATCGTCTAGGTTATGCGAATCTCTTCTTCTTAAAAAATCCAATGTGGAAGATGCTGAGATTGAAAATGACACCGTTCTTTACGCCTAGCAAATTAAAGAAGATGTTAGATTTAATAGAGGAATGTGCCACAAATCTAACCGAGTATCTGGATTCGCTGAATTTGGAAAGTAAGTACTAAATGATTTACATTTACGCGGGATACTAAGAAAAAAAAGATATAAAGCATCTCTTTAAATAAAAATTCCTCTATAATATATAAAATTATATGTATGTATAATATGTAATAATTATTCATTTTAACGGACATAATTTGGATGATTCCCATTTTAACGTGGATCGCTCTCATCTTGTCTTTGAGTTTTTATAATGGTCCATGATCTTAGGATGCCGGACCGTCCTGTTTTTATTAATACTCTTTGATAAAATGCCGAGTGCGGAGTTCACTTGTTAGGCACGTGCAGGTTGCAGGTTTTTTATATTAAGTAAATGTTGACGGCAGAAGCCGATAACAAAACTGTAATTTTTTAATTTTTTTTCACTTTTTATATGAAATCATAAACCCCGCACTCCGTTATTATGTATACTTTAATTATGGAAAAGGATTTGTTGATATCTATAATCAACAAAAATATTTTGCAATCCTACTAATATTCGCATTCTGTCGGTATCCGGCATCCTCTTAAGTGATAATCACACATTCTTGAATTATTACGTCATAAAGTATAAAATTATTTTCCACTTTATATGTCGCACGAAGCAAGGTCCACTCCACATCCTTCTAGAGTTTTTTGCAAAACGAGATTTATATTGTTACAGCCCTATATGATATTCCCGTGCCGCGATGTTATCATTCATTGCGGTAAAAAGAAAACCATATCCGATACAACATGCGAGTCTCTTTAATAACAAACGGCATAACATAGAGGCACGGGAACATCATTTACAGACAGCCATAATATATTAATTCCCGCGAATCATTTAATTTAATGGAAGAGAAAGATTGACACAAAATGTAAATATTTGCGCGTCCGCGCAATCACGCGGGCTCAATAATAGGATCTTTAGTGAAATAAGAGAAAAACAATCCACATGACTCACTTGATACTTTGTGATTCCGCGGGCGTGCGCTGCTCGCCGCTCCTGATCTACAATCTTGTACGCTAATTGGATAACTTTAAATAGCTCTCATTTAAAAACTATTGTTTAGAGTTCTGATAAACGACAAGTTGCTTCATTTGATATCAAGAACTTTCCTGCATACTTCATATACGGGAGTTTTGAAACATTCTGTAGATAAATAACGAGCTGATAAAAACCGTCTCGAAGGAAGTCAAAACATCTATGACTAAAGTTCATTAATTATTTCTAATTTCTTATTGATCATTACTTGCGTTCACGACCTTGCGCATGACTCTTATCAATCCGTTATTTATCGATTCTATTGATAATACTTAGAGCTTTTACGATTTTTATTGGGGATTTATATAATAATTATACGAAACAAAGTCTAAACATAGCTAAATGTTATTAAATTAACTGATGATATTGTTGACAGATAAGGGAAAAATAGTGGAGATGAGAGAATTATCCTCCAAATTTACTACGGACGTGATTGGCAGCACCGCTTTTGGACTCAACACGAATTCTTTCAAAAACATGAACATCGAGTTTTATAAGCACGGCAGAACGATCTTCGGGTTTGAACACGGTTTGGAATTAACCGGGCGATCTATCACGCGCGTGAATTATTTGAAATTTATGCGTCTATAATATATATATCTACGACATCTTGGAATCGAATGGAATGATAGGTACTATATATCGATAGCATCCTGTATGTGTGTGTATAAATATATACACACATATACACACACATACTTTTTTCCTCGCACTTTATATTCAGTGACGGTGAGCTCTCTGCATTACAATTGCAATTTGTAGTACGTATAATACTCGCATTGCATCCTGAAATACAGAACAAGCTGCGGAAAGAAATTCTTCAGATGCTCGTTAAATCTAATGGAAAAATTACATACGAAATGGTGAGCAAGTATCGATTAAGAGATTTATTTTTTCTCTCGATCGAATCTTGTTGAAGAGCATAATTAAAATATATTAGAATGGTATATTTTTTTATTACTAGATCATGTCGTTACCGTATCTCGATATGGTGTTCTCTGAAACTTTGAGAATGTATCCGCCAGCAGAATACCTACATCGTATCACATCCGAGACTTATAACGTGCCGAACTCCAATCTCGTAATTGAAGAAGGTACACCGGTTTTCATCTCGGTGCGCGGTTTGCATTACGAACCGAAATACTTTCTCGATCCGGATAAATTCGATCCGGAGCGATTCAATGAGGAGAATAAACGTGACAGGCCGGCATACGTTTATCTTCCATTTGGAGAAGGTCCACGTACGTGTATAGGTGAGAAAATCGATTTTAATTTAAAGATCAATATTATTTTGTTATCTATTTGCCTCTCTGAATCTTAACTTATAAAGATACTTTTATATTTTACTACTAATTACTTATAAAGTTCCTACGCCTAAACAATTTCGAAAAAAATTGATGCTAATTAATCATAGAATATGTCGTTAAAAGGTTATGTGATAATGATAAGACATTCTGTGTATATTTTTCTTATTAAAACAATATGATTATTATACAATTATCTATTTCGCAGGTATTCGTTTGGGGCTTTTAGAGATGAAATTAGCACTCATAAAAATTTTGAGCAGATTTGAAGTGTCACCATGTCAAAAAACTTTGATACCAATGAAACTTGATCCTCGTGGACATCTAATAACACCTTTAGGAGGCGTATTACACCTCAATATACGAAAAATTAATACTGAAATGGAATACATAATTGGAGATAGCGTTACCTAAAAATAATTATGATAATAATAATTAATATCACTTAATAAAAATACATAAATACAGTTATTCAAGGTCTCGATATGTAAAATTATGTAAAGGCTGTCAACTTGCGAAGTCAATCGATGCACTAAATCCTCGCTTTAATGGGGAGATGAAAGTGTTTTTATTCGTTCAATGTCAATTTTACTTTATAATAAGCATTATGTGTCTGATTTAAACACCACGTTATTGTTTATAATTAAGATTATTTATGACAGCTTTATTTATTGTAGTTTATACATTGTTGTCTGATTACTGACCATTTATGTAATTTAGATTTCTTTATTATTAATTATTTGCGCGGAGAATGGGATCCAAAGAAAGGATCCAAAACATTTGCATTCACAGTAATAATTATTGACTAATTACAATAAAGTACGAGCGTTAAAGACTGTGCGGGCTCATAAATGCTATGTTTAATTTATTTGCGAGGTGATATTGTGCGAGAAAACATTGGCACATTAATATCTCTCAACATACGAAAATTTAATTATTAAGACTAATTAAAATTTACAAAATAAAATAAAACTTTACCATTTAGAGACCAATCTGTCGGAATGATAAGTTGAGAAATATATTTTGATAGTATAAAAAAAATTACGGATCTTATTTCACAATATACTTGAGTTTCATAATTTTAATTTAACAATTTGTGAGGGAGGGACGGCGAGAGACGGAGAGAACAGACCTTATAAATACAAAATCACCCCAACGTGATGATCTGATTTATACGAGTTTACGAGAAACAAGAAATATCGAAAAGTTTCATATAATAGAATTTCCGATCGCTATACGATATATAAGCGGTTTGTTAAAAAAAAAAAAATGATATTAATCACAATTGAAGAATGTTAGAGCAGCTACATATTAACGTAGCTTTGTAGTATTTCTACTTAGATGCATCAAAATTTAGTTTACGCAACTTCAGAACATCTCGTACATCAATTACGGCAATCACATTTTACGAGCGCGATAATTACATTAATAATTCTCGAAAACTCGATATTGTTCGATTAAAAAGATTCCAAATAAAGAATCTCACACCACATATCGTACATTTCTCTTTGAATTATCGTGTAACACGATTATATAGCGTTCAAATAATTTCTTCGCATATCGTTTTATTTGGAGTAGTTTATTTTGCTGTTTATTATAATTGCACAATATTATAAAAATATATTTTAATAATAAAATAGCAAAGCAAATTTATTTCTTATCGACATCTCTGCCGTTTCATTTTTCATTGAATATATATATAAAAACAAAACACACGGGAGGAAATAATACATTTCCTCTGAAGTAAAATAAGTTCTCTTTCATATTGTAATATTTTTTCGTAAATGTTAGTATTCGTTCTAAAATGGATTTTAGATATTTGGTAACTTTGAATAAGCATAATAGGTTGTCATGTATTTCGGTAAAGACATGATAATAGATAAAACCAAGCGTGATTAACATCGCTTATCTTCAACGTTAGCATGAAAGAGAAAGAGAGAGAGAGAGAGAGAGAGAGAGAGAGGGAGAGAGAGAGAGAGGCGAGAATTAATTATACGATTGAGTCGAATATATTTTATCCCAATAATTAACGACGATAATTGGAATACGAGAAAAATTCTAAGGAGACTAAAGATTCAATTGACGAGTAAAACGATGCCGTACGCTACGGCTCGATTGGCCCAATTCTGTGTTCCGCTTCATTTTACTTATTTATTTCTTATCTATTCTTTTATTACGCAATTGTGGAAGGTATCTACTGGTTAGATACCACAAAAAGCGAAAATCAATATTTCGACGATCTTACAAGTCGAATTTTATTTCGCGACTATATGGAACTTTGAATTTTCATATAAATAGATTTTCTAGTTTATCTCTCGCGAAACTCTCCGAAGACCGTTGAAAATTGATCATCTTTTAATCAAGATTTTGATAGATAGTTAAGAGATAGTAGGTAAGAAATTGCAAACATGACTAGTTTTGGAAAAAAGTATTCATACGCTGGCACTCTTGAAAGTCTGAAAAAAGTTTCTAAGAAAAAAATATATATAACGCTAATAATCGCATTTATTTCATAAAATATGATAAATAGATATCAAACTAATTGTAAGACTCAAGATAATTTAATTTCTTCGCGTTCTATATCGTAAAATCTTCAGTTTAATAGCAATTTTAATTTGATAAAGTTTGACAATAATTTAGAATGTATTAGCTTATATAGTTAAAAAGTTGTAAAATTAGTCATATGAATACCTTTCTTCAACATTAGTCTTGAACATTAGTAACAATCAGGCACAAAGAGTGAGCGATACGAAAAGAAAAAAGTGCATTTGATTTTCTCTAAGATGTGTCAAGTCTTAAGAATATTCTGCTTTGGTCGTGATACAAGTTTTCTAATAAACGCTTGATCCGTTCGAAGTTTAATCTATGCGCTTCGGTAAAGAACGTATAGCAATTTGATCATTTTTTCGTTAATGTTATCAATTATAGAGTTTGCAATTATTCTAGAATTCGTTATAAGCGTAAAATCTGATTAAGATCAAAATCTCTAAATACGATAGATTTGTATGATTAATTATAGTGGTCCTGACTCGAGAAGAGAATCAAAATCAAATGCCTTCTTTCATTCACATCGAGGAGAGAACTTGATTATTTATCATTATTATTATAATATGCGTTGCTCTCTATACATACACTGGTACAACTCCTTCATCCGCATATATATGCGCTTTTCTATTCGTTCCATCTTTTTGTCCTTAATATTTTTTCTTTCCTTTTTTCAACAATAACTTTCTTTCAGGAAAACGAGTATACTAATTCAAGTCTCAATTTCAAGGAAAGTTTTTCTCACACAGGAGGTTTATATATTCTACTTGAAAGATAATTATTCTATTCTATATATACATTTTATTATTCGACTTCACGTCTCGACAGCAGAAATTTACCGAATAAAAAAATCATGAAATTAACGCAATTTTTTATCTTTTCTTTTATTTGTTAAAATTATATATTTTAGACAACTTTACGCGTGGACTTAATTTTTTCATTCGTATCGTCACACATGCACATCAAGTTCCACTTGATTTAATCGACAATTATTGATTCTACGACACGAAAAGAGAGAGAGATAAAAATTCGTTAGTCAAATAATCAGTCAAATGTAAATGTCGCTCGTTCACACACATATCGAGGGTTTTCTTCGCAGAGACTGTTGCCCAACTTAAGATCAGCCTAAAATCAACTTTTAATTGGTCTAAAAACAATAATGTAAGACTAGAATTCAACACGTGCGATTTTTTTAATTGCCATATATACGCAATTGTGTGTATATGATAAAATACAAAAATATAAATATCTAAAAAAATGTAGAGCAGAAAGTCTCTCTCTCGTACAAAAATAATTGTATTTACGCGTGTTTATGCATGCGTGTATTTATGTATATCAATAAGCCACTAAATTATCTGAATTTTTAAACAATAACAGGGTAGATAGAGTCCAATATAGATATATAATTGAGAAAAGACCGATCGATTATATTCCTGTTATCAGTTTTATGTACTTTTTTGGGATACGATGTTAAAAAAATACTAAAATCATTTTATTGAGCTATTCAAGAAACTTTAAACAGATCTCTTCTCCTCAATCAAATCAATCAAGTTTAATAAATCGTTTTCCAAATTGAATAATGTTTTAATAACACGATTAGAGAGACAAAAAATGATTCGCTAAACAATTTTTCTAGTGCTTTCCGAGTTATGGAGAAATCAATGAGAAACACACTTAATAAATCTAATAAATCTATTCTATTTTCTAATTTCGCCGTGGCAACTACTGATATAAAATGACAATTTTCTCGGAAAGTGAAAATAATCTGAAAATATTCTAGGATTCTCAAGAATATCTCAGAATAATTCGAGAATAATGTACAAGTGTCGAATAATGTGTCGAGAAATATTTTGAGAAAAAAGTAAGTTTTTCTTTTAAAAGTAGCTTTCTTAGAAAATAATATCTCTAAAAACTTTTGAGGGCGTTGGTTTAAAAAATAAGATTATTCATAGAATATTTTAAAAATGGTCTGACAAGATTTTCTTACCTCACATCCTTGATACAGTCCCCGAAACTTAATCGCACATCGATACACGAGCCACGCTTACATATCTATTTGTGTTTGTCTCTTCTACTTAAAATTATCCACTTGCTCCTAGTGGAGATGCGTTATATTCTTATGTCTTTGTATACACTGCGTATATTTATATATGTATGTATGTATGTATAGTAACGAACAACATTAATGATCACTTGTTAGGCTACTCTTTAATTAGACAATAAATAAAATAGTCTATGTATACAGCATATATATATATACACATCCTCGTTTCCCACAGGCCGTAGGTGTCCCTCGCAAATAAAATATTTCGACTCTCGCGACTTCGCATCGTTATGACATAAAACAGTCAAAGTTGATGGCATTAAATCATGGTCCGTATGAGGATCCCTTCGCAAGAAAAATTCAATTACAAAGAATTCAATTTAATCGGAAATAATATATTAGATATGTAACATTTTGTTTTTTATTTTTCGATAAATGGCTTACTCGAGCAAATATTACGTTTGTTCGAAATTGACTGCTTTTAATTATACGGGGATAGATTTTATTCTCCTATATACGCGCATATTTTGCGATGTGACATTAATTATCACGAATTAATCGCAATTCATTCTACTTTTTATGTCGCGACATATATTTAATAAATATCACCGATGCATTTGATCGGAGTTTTATGTCTGCACATTGCAGCTATTAATCGGTACCGATAATTAATATCTCGATGAGAAACATGATGATACCTGTATTAAAAAATTAAACCTCTCCAAAATTTTTCTTGACAATTATTTTACTAATTTCCCTTGTATTACAATGCGACAGACATTCCTGGATATTTCTGAGCCTAAACTAGGCTCAAACTTTTTCCATTGGAGTCCTAACTGTTGCAGCAGAACAGGTTTTCGGGCCACCAACCGCGAAGCCCGAGCTTCTTCTCAGAGGGATCCTCGACCACCAGGACGTATTACATGATCTCTTCTCTGCTGGGCGACCTCGGTGGATGCGGCGACAGCGGCGTTTCATTCGGGTGCCTCTTTGGCCGAAAACTGGCCGTCAACGAAGATATCCAGCCGCTTTGCGAACCGTGATCGTGCAGAGAATCGCTGTTGCTGTTGCTCCGAGTACTGTCAATGCTCATACCGGATTTGAATCGCGAGAATAGACCGGGCGAGGATTTTTTGGTCGTGGCGGGCGACGCGAACACAGTGGAATGCTTCTTTCGTGATTTAGACACCTCCTTGCAGAGCATCGAATCCAGACTACCGGTGTGCGGACGTTCCTCCGCCTTGGAATTCAGCGAACCCAGTATGACCGCTTCCGCCTGCTTTGCCATCTTAGAAATGTCTTCCATACTGGCTGAGCTTCTCCTAATCTCCACCTTGCCGAGATCTTCTTCAATGTCGCATGAGGTATCATCGAGATTGACTATGATTTCAGGCTGCTGCTGTTTCTTCGGACGTACATTGATCTCTTGAAACTCGATATCCAGATCCTGTCGAGATCTTTTCACTTCCTTCATACTCTGAGACTTGCCCTCGGGATTCGATAAGTTTCTACGGTGCTTGGAAAAGGAGCCGGCTGCCGGCAAAGCCTCCAAAGAAGTGGACGATCTCTTTTCTTTAGTGAACACCGTCCGCCAGCTTTTGTTCTTGCTGTCTGTGGATTTGCGAACCTTGGGCAGAGTCATCGCTCGTTTGTCAACCGACGATAACTCCACCACAGTTGCAATAGCTTTGCTGTTGTCCTTAATCGAAGACTTAACAAGGTTGCAGCGCTTACAGATGAACAAAGAATTGTTATGCCTCCTCGAAGTCGCGGCGGAACCGCTGCTCACCGAGTTGCTCTTAGTGAGCATCTTGGACGCGTGCTTTGGTTTTGGACTGGGCGAATCCTTAGAATCAAAACTGCTGCTCAGACGATCCGTAAAGTTTCTCAGCCGTGAGAATAAAGACTTGTGATTATTCGACCCAGTTCTGTCGTCGCAGCAACATCGCAGATTGATTGATTCTCGACTGCCGTGTGCATCCTTACGACTAGATCGGATTTCGTGAATATTCTTTATGACCGTGCCGGCCTTCTTCACGTTGTTCCTCGGTTGCGAGTGGGCCTCTGCCACGACGATATTACCGTTTCCCTCTGGCGCTCTGCCTTCAATTTTAGCGACTAGAAATGTCGCCTCCTTCTCAATTTCCTCGAGAATACGCGTGCCTTCGGCGGATCTCGCGCTGACCGGCGAACTGACATCGCTACCGAGATTTTCGCATCTGCTGCTGCGTCTCCTCTCGCGCTCGTGTTCCCGAACGGCCTTGATCAGATCCTGATTATGATAATCTAACGAGGATTTCTCCCGGCTGCCCTTGCGACTGCTGGGGCAACTCTTCCGGCCGGTAGTCGGGCCGGCCAGTGTGCCTTCGGTGGAAATCTTGAACTTGAGCGTCTTCTCGCTGATCTCTACTTCCGTGGCGGTCTCCGGATCAGAGCTCTCGACATTTTCCATCTCCTCCATCGTCAAGTTCTCCGTAATATCGTCGTCGGTGGAGCGCGAGCGCGAATGGATTGTCGTGGCGGATCGTTTTGAACGCATGCTGTGCGACGACGTGGATTTGATAATGGCGGACGAGCTGCCAACGCCGCTCGGCGCATTGGATATACCTGATTCTCCGACATCTATGACACTTTTCCGATGATGACGTTCGTCTTTGGCAGCCTCGTTCAGTCTGCGATAGTACTCCAGAGCTTCCCTGACGGGTTGAACTATGAGATTCTGGAAAGCAAGGTTTCGTGTATATAAAGATCTGTTCATGCAAAAAACCGATATTAATTTTCGAAGGTTTTATACAAGAATGGTTGCCGATCCATTTCATTGCAAGCACGAATAAATTAATACACGTACAAAAGAGAACAGGGAATACCTGTAGCTCGGGAAGAAGTTCGCCGAGGGCTTCGAAGAGGGGGAGAAGAACTAGGCCGATGAAGCTAACCTGGGACGATGGTTTGGTCACCTTGTCGCGATCCATGAATGGCGTGACCGGAAGACCCTCGAGTTTCTCCGCGTCACTCTGCTTGAAGAACTCTTGAAGTAACTTGTCCAGCCATGGTTCCGCGACTTCCATCGGGCGCGCCTCATTACTTATGTCGGCTACCTTGATAAGGATCATGGATAGCTGCAAAATACGTAATTGTATTGATTATTTAATGTTTCATTCGATTAAATTAACAACTAACCTACTAACTCCATTAGTCGGCGTATTTACCAGATTTATATGTGCTCTGTTGGTATAATCGAATTCAGGAATGATATCGATGAACTGGCCGAGGATCTCGTTGTGCCGGGCCATGTCGGTCGCTAGGATGCATCGTATAATGCCCTCGCGCACTATTCTATAGGTAAGATTGTCCAAGGACGCGAGGATGTTGCACTCGGGTGCCTCCAGGACCCGGAACGCCACGGAACAGTGATGATTCTCCAAAGGCGAGATATCGTTGTAACGCAATGCTAGTTCAGTCCGCGCGTTTATCTGATAGATATTGTTGTAGCCCGGATGATCGAGATCGTGACAGATGCAGGAGACGATCAATATGAGAACCTCGAGGTCGCCGATTTTCGACGGAAGATCCACCGCCCTGGCTATCGCGTACATCTGGATACAATCAATTAACGCTGAATCGATGTGGCTCTTTTTCGATTTACAGCTAAAAAAATATTTTGCCATGCATGCGTATTTCGATCAATCATAAAAAGAAAAATTTCAAAATCATTATATTATCTCACAATAATACAGTATAGTTTTATTTATGTAGAATTGGCATCGTTAATTTTATTGGCAATAAAATATTGTGTAAAGTAGCTCAATTTAATTGTACTTATAAATTCATTCACTTATTACTGTAACATCATACAGTTGAAGAATGATCTACATTGAAGTATGATATTACAGTAATACAAAAGTGAATGAATTTATAGGTGTAGTTAAATTGATATTATATTATTAAATTATATTATATTATATATAATATAATATAATATATATAATG